CCCCCCCCCCCTTAAGGCCTAATACAATTCCCATTAACAAGAACGAAAAAATTCATATAACTAATTCGATTCTTCATCCAACCTCTCCATTTGACCCCAAAACCTTTGTACCCAAAAATCTGTTAAAAAAAGACCCAATCCACAGTCATAGGCTTTCTCAAACCGATTTCTAAGCTTCATTAGCTATAAGCACTTGGTCCAAAATTTGCTCTCCTGCTATAAAGGCTCCTTGACTGTCAGAAATAGCATTTAAATAGTATTAGGAGGGAATCGCTTCAGTCTTCCCACTAGTATTTTTGCAATAATCTTGTACATGCCTGTTGCAAGGATAATAGGGTCTAAAGACTCTCACCTTAGTCGCCTTATCCTTCTTAGGCATGAGGAACACATAAGTCCTATTCATTCTAGTATCAATAATTCTTCGATCGAGAATTTGCAAAAAAATCCTTCCACAAATCCTCCTTGATACTATACCAACAGTTTTGAAAGAAAGCTATAGTAAAGTCATCAGGACCAAGAGATAAATTCCAGGATGAATACCAGCATTAATTAATTTCATCAAATGTCGGTGGCATCTCATATCTTCCCTTCTATATTTCTCTAAAATTTTATCCTCGTCATGACTACTTGACATCAACATTTATGCACGGTAGCCACAAACATTAAACACATAAGCGCATCAAAGCAATGCAGTTAGTAAATTCCTAATATTTTAGATGTAAATGAAGCCCAAGATACCAACATCTCACTATCACATGCCCAAAGTAATTTTTTATGACATTTCAAGGCATTAAGTAATTTTGTATGGCATTCCAATGCATTAATGTATTTTCTCTTCGGTATAAAACTGCTGTCCAAGAGCACAATAGCATGAACTTCTGTGACAAGACCTCTGCTTTATTCATTTTCTCTTCTTTGTGTTATAAGAAACAGAAAATACAGAATACTTTTATAACAGAAAGCTTTGGAGGCTTACAAATTTATTTGATCCATTGCAGAAGACATGATAGATCGAAATGCTAGAGGCAAGAAAGAGATTGTGTATGGAGATTTATTCCTCTCAATAATTGACACAGGGACCCATGTTTCATCTTTCGAAATATTTACGATGGAGCCTCGCATCCAGGCACAAAGCCTTAAAATATAAATCTTTGTCACCTCTGATTGAAGTGTTCGCAGTGCAATCACTGTGTTCACAGAAAGCAAAAAAATGTGAATGATTATGATTGGAGCGGGTAGACAAAATTTAGACATGAATGATGTGTAGATACCAGCACTTGTAGGAGCTGATTCCTTTGCTTCGAAAGTTTGACATGTGCTAGATATTTCATTTATGGCATCACTCATATACGGCTGAAGAATATTTGATTCTTCAAGATCACGAAAGGTGCTGTTAACCTGACAAGTTAAGCATTTTGCATAAATTTACTAAGCTAAGCGTACTGCATGAAGGAACCAAATGTAATAAATGTAGATTGAACTATGCAACACCGACTGATTAAGTTCATATGGGAGTAACCCAAAACAAAGAGGATTTCTTTAAATCCAGCTCACATGGGAGAATATACTTCTGTATAGGGGGGGCATAATAAAGATTTATTAAGCAGATATAAAAAAGATATTTAGTTGTCCTCCCATGGCTGAGATAAAAAATTCTCCCTGCTAGGTAATGTAAAAATAAATGGTAACAACAAAATTTCCAGTAACAAAAGCCAACTACATGGATGATAGCCCCTCTCAAATGTTTTGGGAGATTCTCTATCATGAAGAGCAGTCTCTCACGGGTGAGAGGAGAGTACCCTTCAAAATCACAGTTATGAATGATCACAAAAACATTTATAGCACATCATTAAAATTCTACTCGGAGAAGAAATCATCCAATCCAATACCATTATTGCAGTGACTATCCAAGATATAAGCATATGACTGTCAATTGCATTCTCACCTTTACGTCATATGCAGACAGTGTATTGCGTATCATCCCAGCAACTTCCTCGAGAGAATGATTCAAGTACTTCCCTTCACCAACCTTGTCCTCATTTTTGCTAGCCGAGGTGTTTGTACTTGATTCAGTAGAAACTTGAGAAGACTGAAATTATAAAATCAAGCATCAAGATAAGGGCTATAATGAAAGTTAAGAAAAAATTAATCTTATCCTCACAAGCACTAATAATTAGAGAAATAATTTAAAAACAACAGATCCACTTATACAAGACAGCATGCAGTAGATCACTAACTGATCTCAAATTACCTTGGCAAATTTCCCACTGAAAACAGAAAGAGCAGTTTTCCAAAACACTGGTATGTGACGGATAAGTACAGCTGTCAATCTCTGAATATATCTACCTCTGAGAGCATCAACTTCTTCACTATTTACTTCCACGAGTTCCACACCCACAGGGAGATGGCCAACCCTAACAGAAGAATGATCAACATCTGACTGACAACAATGAAAAAAAATTAAAACGAAGGCCATGTTCAATTTAATAAATTTGCTCAAATCATCATTAGAATCATCTTTACAGATTTCACCTACAGATTGATCCAGATCTTGTTGAATCTGCCTCCATCTTGCATCAGCAATAGCTCTTTCACGCAATTTAGTATTCAAAGCTTCCATTCTTGACTCATGATCTAAGGTGCACTTCTCAAGCAAACCTCGTATCTTGTGATTCTATAAAAGAAAACAAAAAGTACCTCGATGAGCTGACCATTTGTACTTAATTCTTTAAGCTTGACTTCTAAACTAATCCATTCACTTCAATATGGAAATAGGGGAAGGGGGAAGGAAAAGATGGAGATCAGAAAAAATGCATTTTCTTCCGTTTTTATGATAAGAAACCATTCCATTAATCACCAAAAGATATACAGAACACTGAAAAAAAAAATCTCCCTACAAGCAAAGGCTTTAGAGAAGGTGTTCCACTGGGTCAATCCCAATATTCACAATTGTTGAACTCAAATCAAATAAAATATTATTAAAAAAAAGTGCTAAAAATGACCGTGATTACTAACTCCAAGAAGCTAAAAGGAAAATATAACCAAAATTATCACTCAAATGCTTTATAAGAATTCTAAAGAGGTCACCCAACATCGAAAGCATGTAAGTGAGAATCGAACATCCTGAAAGGTCCCAATGTTGGTCTATAGGGGAAGTTCCCCTTGAGACGTGTAAAGTGATGTGGCAAGGGCAAGGGGAAGCATGGGAATATCAAAGCTATCAGGTACAGGATCGGAATTTTGAATACTAGGCTTGGTGCATTCCAGTTGGTATCAGAGCAAACATCTCCTACTACATTGTGGTTCAAGGACAAACCACGGTTGAGGCTAGTGAGCATGTGACTCACAAGTATAGGAAGGATATATGAATGAACTAAGACCACATTTGAATTAGAGATTTTAAGAATATGAGTATAGGTTAGAAAGGTAGAAAATAACAGAGGAATTATAGAAAATACCTCAAAACTTTGGGTTTCGCAACAATAATACTCCGAAAATTTAAAAAGTTATATTAATATCATTGATTTTTCGATGAAAAATGCCCTTACTGAGAAAAACCACAGCTGAACGTTTAATCAAAACAGCAACCAGCTACAAGAGAAATAAAAAGAAAGCTTAGCTAAGAAAGAAATGAAAAAGACACCTAAAGAGAATTTGTGGAATAAACCATGTCTGACCACTCCCACTGGCTGTAAACAGTAAAGAGTTGAGACTACTCCTCTAAGATAAAATGGGAAAGAAACAGCGAATCTCATAGAGGGCATAGAAAATCAACCAGAAGGCAAAGTGTGTAACCTCCATATCTCAAGGAAGACAGTAGAGGTGCTATATTTGTATTAGACCAATTTCATAAAAAGAATGTACGAGGAACAAAGGTAACAGTAGCAAAAAGCAGTGTAAATATGAGTTGAAAGGTTTGATTAACACGTGGGAAAAGTGAATATGTGTGATAAGGTTCAAAGAGATAACCTCACTTATTTATCTCCCCAAATATGTGTTTGCTATGCCAGACGAACGAGGAAATGCTTGATCACAGCCTTCTTCATTGCAGTTTTAGTGTCAGGTCGGATTATTTTGGCCATTTGTTTGGCTTGAATGGATGTAAGCTTCAGTAAATAGATGCTTGGATGGTGGAATCTCTTAATGGATGGCGCTAAAAAAAATAAGCTCAAGTGCTTTGCAGCAACGTTTTGAAGGCTATTTATGGTTGTTATGGAAAGAGAGAAATCCAAGAGTCCTTTCAGATAAGTACAATTCTTTTGTATTGTGATCTTGTACAGTTCAAGGCTTCTAATTGGAGCAGCGAACACATATTCTTTTGTAATTACTCCACTTTCTTCATCAACTTAGATTGGGAGATTCTTATGTAGAATTTTTCTTTCTAGGAGGGGACACCTTACCGCTTTGTGCGCTGGACTTTTTGTTTCTTCCATTTGAATGAAGTGGTAAATGTTTCGTTAAAAACAATTGAAAAAAACAACAAAACAAAACAAAAGGGGTTTTCCAAGGTCAAGAACTAGCTAGAAGGTCTTTCGGGAACTTGTTAAATTATTTTGTAATCAAGTACAGCTAAATTATTCACCAGCAGGAGGCCATTTTGTAACCTGTGGGGGGTGGAGATATCTCACCTCCCCTCTTTTTGTACATCCATTTTGGTAATGAAGTTATTGCTTCTTATAAAAAATAAAATAAAATAAATTATGAGCCTTGCACAATATGTATTTGGGAGAGATTCGAATAACTCAATACTTAATGTTTCTTATTCAACATTGTTAAGAATTGGATTTTATCGAAAATCACAGCTGGGAGTGCCCCAGCAACGTTGTAAACTACTATGGTTTCAAGTATTGATAGGAATCGCCGATCTTTAAACCCATGATGAAGGGATGTTCAAAGTGATTATTAGGGATAACTTATTTGCACCCTTTTGGTTTTTCATTTGCTTCAAAATAAAATAACAACTCTTATACAACCCAACACAACACTTCAGAAGTGAAGATACATGTTTGCCTAAGTTTCTCTATAACCAACACAACTAATTAATACATTTCAATATCGAGCATTGCAGATTGCAGATTGCAGATTGCTCAAATATGAGGCATCAAGCTTGAGACTCGGGCATGAGAAAAGGTGCTTTTCACAGGGAGGTTGGAAATTTGTTAGCACTCCTCCAGAAGCTTGATTCGATTCATTTGAATAATGGGCTGGATTCAGTTACTTGGTCGCTGGAAATTTCAGGCTTGTTCTCAACTGAGTTATCTTTTTTAAAGTTAACTCAAAAGCCTGGTAGCTTGAAGGCTCCCTTGGTGGATCTAGTTTTGGAACTTCAAATACCCTAAAAAGGTCAAAATGTTTCTTTGTCTCTGGCCCATAGAAGTTTGAATACCCATGCCCAAATTCGAAGGAAGTTCCCTAGATGATCCCTGTCCCCCTAGGTATGTTGTCTGTATCAGGAGGAGTTGTTAGACCACCTCTCCTCACTTTCCATTTGTGTACAAAGGGTGGCGTTTCATTTTTAAAATCTTGGGCTTGGACCTTTGCCACCCTCAAGAGTGGAGGATTGGTTGGTCAAAGCTTTATCAGGCTGGAACCCTAAAGGCAAGGCAAAACCTCTATGGAATTGCGAAGTTAGAGCGCTCTTATGGCATTTTTAGTAAAGCTTTTCTTTTTTGTAAAGATCTCGATGACCCTGAATAAGAAGTGGTTTTTTTTACAGTTTTGGCCTGAGTGATCTCTGAAACTGAAAGCTTTTCGATTGGAAAGAAATTAACCAAGGAACATCCAAAGAAAAGTTTGCTTTGTTTTTCTTTTCTTTTTTTTTTTTTTTTTTTTTTTTTTTTTTTTTTTTTTTTTTTTTTTTTTTTTTTTT